CATTTCCCTGATGACTAATGATGCTGAGTGTTTATTCTGGTGCTTATTGGCCATTTGTGTATCTTGGAGAAATGATTATTCAAATACCTAGGCCATTTAAAAAAATTTTTTTTTTTTTTTTTTTTTTTTTTTTTTGAGACGGAGTTTTGCTCTTGTTACCCAGGCTGGAGTGCAATGGCGCGATCTCGGCTCACCGCAACCTTCGCCTCCTGGGTTCAGGCAATTCTCCTGCCTCACCCTCCTGACTAGCTGGGATTACAGGTACGCACCACCATGCCCAGCTATTTTTTTTTGTATTTTTAGTAGAGACGGGGTTTCACCATGTTGACCAGGATGGTCTCGATCTCTCAACCTCGTGATCCACCCGCCTCGGCCTCCCAAAGTGCTGGGATTACAAGCTTGAGCCACCGCGCCCGGCGCCGATTGTTCACTTTTTTATAGTATTCTTTCAAGTATAAAGGTTTTAATTTTGATGAAGCTAGACTTACATTTTTCCTTTTGATGCACATGCTTTTGGTGGTATATCTAAGGATTGCCAAACTCAAGAGTCATGAGTATTTACGCCTATGTTTTCTTTTTTTTTTTTTTTTTTTTTGAGGCGGAGTTTTCGCTCTTGTTACCCAGGCTGGAGTGCGATGGCACGATCTCGGCTCACCGCAACCTCCGCCTCCTGGGTTCAGGCAATTCTCCTGCCTCAGCCTCCCGAGTAGCTGGGATTACAGGCACGTGCCACCATGCCCAGCTAATTTTTTTTGTATTTTTAGTAGAGATGGGGTTTCACCATGTTGACCAGGATGGTCTCGATCTCTCGACCTCATGATCCACCCGCCTCAGCCTCCCAAAGTGCTGGGATTACAGGCTTGAGCCACCGCGCCCGGCTGCCTATGTTTTCTTTTAAGAGTTGTATAGTTTCAGCTAGGTCTTTGATTCATTTTGAGTTAGTTTTTATATGTGGGGTGAAATAAGAGTCTCTCTCTGTCACCCAGGCTGGAGTGCAGTGGCGCTATCTTGGCCCACTGCAACCTCCATCTCCTGTGTTCACGTGATTCTCCTTCCTCAGCCTCCCAGGTAACTGGGATTACAAGTATAAGCCACCACCCCTGGCTAATTATATTTAAGGTTTTGAGAGTAGCCAGGGGTGGTGGCTCACGCCTGTGATCCCAGTACTTTGGGAGCCTAAGGCTGGCGGATCACTTGAGGTCAGGAATTCAAGACCAGCCTGACCAACATGGAGAAACCCTGCCTCTACTAAAAACACAAAACAAGTCGGGCATGGTGGCACATGCCTGTAATCCCAGCTGCTTGGGAGGCTGAGGCAGGAGAATCCCTTGAACCTGGGAGGTGGAGGTTGTGGTGAGCTGAGATTGCACCATTGCACTCTAGCCTGGGCAAGAAGAGTGAAACTCCATCTCAAAAACAAAAAAAAAAGAAAGTAGAGGAGTTTTACGTAAAATAAAAAAGCATAGCAGTTCTAGGTAAGACTGGTTTGGAGTGCAGCCGTGGAAATGGATGGCTGAAGCGCAGGTAAAGACTGAACTCAGGGCCGGGCACGGTGGCTCAAGCCTGTAATCCCAGCACTTTGGGAGGCCGAGGCGGGTGGATCACGAGGTCAAGAGATCGAGACCATCCTGGTCAATATGGTGAAACCCCGTCTCTACTGAAAATACAAAAAAGTAGCTGGGCATGGTGGCACATGCCTGTAATCCGAGCTACTCAGGAGGCTGAGGCAGGAGAATTGCCTGAACCCAGGAGGCGGAGGTTGCGGTGAGCCGAGATCACGCCATTGCACTCCAGCCTGGGTAACAAGAGTGAAACTCCGTCTCAAAAAAAAAAAAAAAAAAAAGAGACTGAACTCAGTGCTAAAGTCTTCAAGTTAATGACAGGTAGGCCTGTGGCCTTGGAGGAGCCAGGGTGTTGTTTTTTTTTTTGTTTGTTTGTTTTGTTTGTTTGTTTGTTTTTAGAGATAGAGTCTCACTCTGTAGCCCAAGCTGCTGTGCAGTGGCACACTTGGCTCACTGCAACCTCCGCCTCCCGGTTTCTAACAATTCTCCTGCCTCAGCCTACCGAGTAGCTAGGATTACAGGCGCATGCCCCCACACCCAGCTAATTTTTTTGTATTTCAGTAGAGATGGGGTTTCACTCTATTCCCCAGGTTGGTCTCGAACTCCCGAGCTCAGGCAATCCACCCGCCTTGGCCTCCAGAGCTAGCATTATAGGCATGAGCCACCGAACGAGCCAGGATTTATTAAAATGAGGCTAGAGGAGTTAAATCTGGACAAGACATTGAGAGTAAGGAGGATACAAACCCCCTCTTTTATTTGAAATATGTGGGAAGTAGAAGAATGAGCTAAAACTTCTGCATTAGAATTTTTCAAAGGAAGCAGTTCCTTCAGAGGAGAGCTAGTAAGAATTGGAAAGAGTACACTGAAATGGTGGGTGATATAGGGAGTTTGTCTCCTCTGGAAAAGTGTTTTGATGACATCCCTTTGCCAAAACATTGTGACAATGTGGTAGCACCTTGGCTTCAGTTAGACTAAGCTTTACTAATTTGGAGCTTCCTCAGCACTATGCTATTTGTATCTGTTCTGCCCTGGAAACAAAGTTTTTCACTTGGAATAAAGTTGCCTCATTTGACACCCTACCACAGATCAGAGGGTGGAGCATAAAACAAGGTTTCCTTATTAATCATGTGATAATACTATTTAAAGGGTTTTTTTTTTAATTAATTAATTAATTAATTAATTATTTTTTTTTTTTGAGACAGAGTTTCGCTCTTGTTACCCAGGCTGGAGTGCAATGGCGCGATCTCGGCTCACCGCAACCTCCGCCTCCTGGGTTCAGGCAATTCTCCTGCCTCAGCCTCCCGAGTAGCTGGGATTACAGGCACGTGCCACCATGCCCAGCTAATTTTTTGTATTTTTAGTAGAGACGGGGTTTCACTATGTTGACCGGGATGGTCTCAATCTCTCGACCTCGTGATCCACCCGCCTTGGCCTCCCAAAGTGCTGGGATTACAGGCTTGAGCCACCGCGCCCGGCCCACATTCACTGTTAATTCAGTGCAAGTGGATCATCATAAAGGACTTCATCATCTTTGAGTTGAATAGACTGCAGAAGAGGAGGGGTTGATCTTGCTGCCTTGAGTGACAGAGGCGGTGGAGGGGGAGGCAGGAGAGGCAGGCATACTTGCTGTAACTTTTATTGAAAAAAATTTGCATAGAAGTGGACCTGAGTAGTTCAAACTTGTTTTTCCAGGGTCATCTATACCCATGCTGAGCAGGGAAAATAAAGAAGGATTAATTGGCTTGTCTGGGCCAACAGGCTGACTCAGCTCTGTTTGAGGAGATGGCAGAAACTTAAGAGTTTAAGGGCTTCTCAATCAGGAATTCAGGAATCTCACATTTAGCCTCTTTGACCAGATTATTGGAGCCAGCCTGGGTCTTGAGTGACAGGGCAGTCTGGTTCAGGTCAAGTGTTAGACCCAGTAGGAGGAGGAGAGACCAGTGTACGTACATCTACCAGGTTTCAGATGTAACCACCAATGAGGACTAAACCACCTTTCCTTGAAACCATTCCTCTGTGTCCTCGTAGGTCTCCATAGCCATAGCTCTGCCTCTTTAGGGCCAAATCTGGGGAGGACAAGGAGAGGAGAGTCACCTTATTCTAAATTCAGTCCCTTTATCATGAGCCATAGCCGCTATTTTTTCCTACCTAAAACTAGCCACACATCTAATTTCCTGACCTTTTCTAATGGCCTCTATTTAGGGGATGGCCTAATTATCCTCCTTTGTCTGTAGACCCAGCACTTTATCTGTCATGAGCAGTGTTACCCAATCTTGATACAGTAAAAGAGGGAAGAAGATAGTAAAAAGGAGAGAAAGAGACAGCACTTGGACTTTAATTTTTTATTTTTATTTTTGAGATGGAGTCTTGCTTTGTCAACCCAGGCTGGAGTGCGCTGGCTTGATCTCGGCTCACTGCAACCTTCACCTTCTGTGTTCAAGCAACTCTTCTGCCTCAGCCTTCCGAGTAGCTGGGACTACAGGTGTGCGCCACCATGCCCGGCTAATTTTTGTATTTTTAGTAGAGACAGGGTTTCACCATGTTGGCTGGTCTTGAACTCCTGAACTCCTCATCTGCCCTCCTTGGCCTCCCAAAGTGCTGAGATTATAGGCGTGAGCAACCATGCCTGGCCATATGTTGGTCTTCTTGTATGTTAGGTTTTGTATAGTAAGTCTCCCTTCCATTCATATCCTCTGGGCCCGTTAGAGGCTGCTGCTGTTTTTTTTTAAGACAGAATTTTGCTCTTGACACTCAGGCTGATGTGCAGTGGCACAGTCTCAGCTCACTGCAACCTCTGCCTCCGGGCTAATTTTTGTATTTTTAGTAGAGATAGGGTTTCGTCATGTTGGCTAGGCAGGTCTTGCACTAACTACTGACCTCAGGTGATCCACCTGCTTCGGCCTCCCAAAGTGTTGGGATTATAGGCATGAGCCATCATGGCCAGCGAAAATAGGGTCTTTATCTTCTAGAAATAAGGATAAGAATTGATTTGTTTGCTATTCAGTTCTATATTGTGGTAAAAGTTTATCAATAAATGTATTCCTAAAGAGTAGAAAATTAAAATGCCCCGGGGCATGGTGGCTCCACGCCTGTAATCCCAGCACTTTAGGAGGCCGAGGTGGGTGGATCAGGAGGTCAGGAATTCAAGACCAGCCTGGCCAACATGATGAAACCCTGTCTCTACTAAAAATAAAAAAATTAGCCAGACGTGATGGCATGCGCCTATAATCCCCACTACTTGGGAGGCTGAGGCAGGAGAATCACTTGAGCCTGAGGCAGAGGTTGCAGTGAGCCAGGATTGTACCACTGCATTCCAGCCTGGGTGATAGAGGAGATTTTGTCCCTGGGGCTGCAGGTGGGGTAGCGGTGCGGTGCGTGGGTGTAGAAAATGCACCATGCAGATATTACCTGCACTGCTGACAGGGAAAATTTTTTCAGGGTGAAGAAGGTGAATACAGCGAAGAGGAAAACTCCAAAGTGGAGCTGAAGTCAGAAGCTAATGATGCTGTTAATTCTTCAACAAAAGAAGAGAAGGGAGAAGAAAAGCCGGACACCAAAGGCACTGTGACTGGAGAGAGGCAAAGTGGGGACGGACAGGTCAGTACATCCCCCAGTCCTCCATTGTAGAGGCTGGAATAGGGACTCTGAGTCTTGGAAGAGTAAGGATCCTTTTATCTGTCATCTAGGAGAGCACAGAGCCTGTGGAGAACAAAGTGGGTAAAAAGGGCCCTAAGCAGTTGGATGATGATGAAGATCGGAAGAATCCAGCGTACATACCTCGGAAAGGGCTATTCTTTGAGCATGATCTTCGAGGGCAAACTCAGGAGGAGGAAGTCAGGTAAAAGCCACTTGTTGCTGCTGCTGTCTAACATGTATTTTAGACATGTAGGCCAGGCACTTTGCTAAATGCTTTGTCTGTATTATTTCATTTAATACAACATTTTAAGTTAAGCATTATGATTATCCTTGTACAAATGAGGAAAGTAGGGCTTAGAATATTTGGTAACTCTTGGTGAGGCAGCTAAGATCCAGACCTAGAGCAGTCTGTTTCCAGAGCTCGTCTTTTGTTAATTATTATACTTTTGCTTTTCTTTTTTTTTGAGACGGAGTTTCGCTCTTGTTACCCAGGCTGGAGTGCAATGGCACGATCTCGGCTCACCGCAACCTCCGCCTCCTGGGTTCAGGCAATTCTCCTGCCTCAGCCTCCTGAGTAGCTGGGATTACAGGCAAGCGCCACCATGCCCAGCTACTTTTTTGTATTTTTAGTAGAGACGGGGTTTCACCATGTTGACCAGGATGGTCTCGATCTCTTGACCTCGTGATCCACCCGCCTCGGCCTCCCAAAGTGCTGGGATTACAGACTTGAGCCACCGCGCCCGGCCCTTATACTTTTGCTTTTCTTAATCCGAAGCGTAAGACCTCTGAGATGTGAAGTACTTCATAGGCTGCCTTTTAGGAGAAAGGAGATGTTTCAAAAGTACTGAATGGCATGAAATGAAGTCTTTCCTCATTTCTGTGTCTGTTGTATTTGAGCCCAGCAGGCCCTGAGGTTCTGTGATCCATACTTGCTTTGGGGACGCCCATTTTGAATAATCTCTCTTGGATAATGAGACTACGTGAAGTTCCTGTTGTTCCCCTGCCTGACCCTTTTTGTTCATAAACATCTCTACTTGGAGAATTCTGCTTACCCAAGACACTTTTCCTTCATTTTATCTAGACCCAAGGGGCGTCAGAGAAAGCTATGGAAGGATGAGGGTCGCTGGGAGCATGACAAGTTCCGGGAAGATGAGCAGGCCCCAAAGTCTCGACAGGAGCTCATTGCTCTTTATGGTTATGACATTCGCTCAGCTCACAATCCTGATGACATCAAACCCCGAAGAATCCGGAAACCCCGGTGAGAACTACTGGGCCAGGTGTGATGGCTTGCACCTGGAACCCCAGCCCTTTTCAAATTGAGTCAGGAGGATTGCTTGAGGCCAGGAGTTCAAGATCAGCCTGGGCAAAATAGTGAGACCCTGTCTCAAAAAACAAAAAAGGAGTGTACACTATTGGTCAGGCATGGTGGCTCATGCCTATAATCCTAGCACTTTGGGAAGCTAAAATGGGTGGATCACAAGGTCAGGAGTTCAAGACCAGCGTGGCCCAGATAGTGAAACCCCGTATCTACTAAAACTACAAAAGTAGTTTAGCTGGGTGCAGTGGCAGGTGCCTGTAATCCCAGGTACTTGGGAGGCTGAGGCAGGAGAATCGCTTCAACCCATGCAGCAGAGATTGTAGTGAGCCGAGATCATGCCATTGCACTCCAGACTCCAGCCTGGGTGACAGAGTAAGACTCCGCCTCAAAAAAAAAAAAAAAAAAAAAGTACACTATTGGCCAGGCGCGGTGGCTCAAGTCTGTAATCCTAGCACTTTGGGAGGCTGAGGCGGGTGGATTACGAGGTCAAGAGATCGAGACCATCCTGGTCAACATGGTGAAACCCCGTCTCTACTAAAAATACAAAAAAGTAGCTGGGCATGGTGGCGCGTGCCTGTAATCCCAGCTGCTCAGGAGGTTGAGGCAGGAGAATTGCCTGAACCCAGGAGGCGGAGATTGCGGTGAGCCGAGATTGCACCATTGCACTCCAGCCTGGTAACAAGAGCGAAACTCCGTCTCAAAAAAAAAAAAAAAAAAAAAAAAAAAAGTACACTATTGATAAGTTTTAGAAAAAACTGTTGCTTTTTTTTTTTTTTTTTTTTTTTTTTTGAGACAGTGTCTCACTCTGTTGCCCAGGCTGGAGTGCAGTGGCACGATCTCAGCTCACTGTATCCTCCACCTCCTGGGTTCAAGTGATTCTCCTTCCTCAGCCTCCTGAGTAGCTGGGATTACAGGCGCCCACCGTCACACATCTGGCTAATTTTTGTGTTTTTAGTAGGGATGGGGTTTTGCTGTGTTGGCCAGGCTGGTCTTGAACTTCTGGCCTTAAGTGATCCACCCCTCTTGGCCTCCCAAAGTGCTGGGAATACAGGCCTCAGCCACTGAGCCCAGCCTCCTTTTGTTAATTTTTTCTCAACAGTTTCTTCATTTTTTTGTAGATATGGGAGTCCTCCACAAAGAGATCCAAACTGGAATGGTGAGAGGCTAAACAAGTCTCATCGCCACCAGAGTCTTGGGGGTACCCTACCACCAAGGACATTTATTAACAGGAATGCTGCAGGTACTGGCCGCATGTCTACACCCAGGAACTATTCTCGATCTGGGGGCTTCAAGGAAGGTCGTCCTGGTTTTAGGCCTGTGGAAGCTGGTGGGCAGCATGGTGGCTGGTCTGGTGAGACTAAGCATGATACTAGTTACCGGTCACGGCGTCTAGAGCAGACTCCTGTGAGGGATCCATCTCCAGAAGCAGATGCTCCAGTGCCTGGCAGTCCTGAGAAGGAAGAGGCAGCTGCTTCAGAGACATCAGCTGCTGCTCCTGATACCGCACCACCAGCCCCGGACAGGCCCATTGAGAAGAAATCCTATTCTCGGGCAAGAAGAACCCGAACGAAGGTTGGAGATGCAGTCAAGCTTGCAGAGGAGGTGCCCCCTCCTCCTGAGGGGCTGATTCCAGCACCTCCAGTCCCAGAAACCACAGCAACTCCACCTACTAAGACTGGGAACTGGGAGGCTCCAGTGGATTCCACTACAAGTGGACTTGAGCAAGATGTGGCACAACTAAATATAGCAGAACAGAATTGGAGTCCCGGGCAGCCTTCTTTCCTGCAGCCACGGGAACTTCGAGGTAGGTAATCATAGGATTGGTGGCTAGCTTTTTCACTTTTGCATCATCAGGTTTAGGGGCATGGGACTTCTGTCTCAGAAATGTGGTGTCTGATAATTGTTTTTTATTTTTGAGATGGAGTCTCCTTCTGGCTCCAGGCTGGAGTGCAGTAGTGCAATCTTGGCTCACTGCAACCTCTGCCTCCCAGGTTCGTGTGATTCTCCTGCCTCAGCCTCCCAAGTAGCTGAGACATGACCCCATGCCACCATACCCAGCTAATTTTTGTATTTTTAGTAGAGATGGGGTTTCACCATGTTGGCCAGGATGGTCTTGGTCTCTTGACCTTGTGGTCTCCCCGCCTCAGCCTCCAAAGTGCTGGGATTACAGGCATGAGCCATCACTCCCAGGCTACTTTTTCATTAACTGAGAGAAAGATGAATTCATAGGTACATTCATTCACTTTTCAGAGCAGTTTTGTTTGTTACCCAAGACTATCCCACTACTTTACCTGCTGTTAACTAATCAGTCATCTTTTTTTTGTTGTTTTCTTTTAAAGAGACAGGGTTGTGCTCTGTCGTCAAGGCTGGAGTGCAGTGGCGTGATCATAACTCACCTCAGCCTGGACTGGGCTCAAGTGATCTTCTTACCTCAGCCTCTATGGGGACTATGGGCACATGCCACCACACTGTATTTTTTTTTTTTTTTTTTTTGAAATGGAGTCTTGCTCTGTCACCAGCCTGGAATGCAGTGGCACAGTCTCAGCTCATTGCAACCTCTGCCTCCCGGGTCCAAGCGATTCTCCTGCCTCAGCCTTCTGAGTAGCTGGAACTACAGGTTCATGTCACCCCACCCAGCTAATTTTTGTATTTTTCATAGAGATGGGGTTTTACCATGTTGGCCAGGCTGGTCTCAATTTCTTGACCTCATGATCTGCCCAGCTCAGTCTCCCAAAGTGCTGGGATTTACAGGCGTGTGCCACCATGCCCAGCCCTGGCTAATCTTTTTTTTTTTTTTTTGGAGACGGAGTTTTGCTCTATCTCCGTACAGTGGTGGAGTGCGGTGGCGTGATCCCGGCTTGCTGCAACTTGCAGTTTTCCGATTTCAAGCAATTCTGGTGCAGCCTCCTGCGTAGCTGGGACTATAGGCACGCACCACCACACCCAGCTAATTTTTTTTGTGTTTTTAATAGAGATGGGGTTTCACCATGTTGGCCAGGATGGTCTCGATCTCTTGACCTTGTGATCTGTCTGCCTCAGCCTCCCAAAGTGTGGCTATTTTTTAAAAGAATTTTTTGTAGTGACAGGGGTCTCACTATGTTGCCCAGGCTGATCTTGCACTCCTGGGCTCAAGTGATTCTCCCAAAGTGCTGGGATTACAGGTGAAAGATACTGCACCTTCCCAGTTGTCATTGAGCCTCCTGAATACAGGATCCTTTTCTACTCTCTGTTAAAAAAAAAAAAAAAGTAGTAGTCAACGTTATTATTTGCACTAATGGTAAATGTTTGATGGGAGAAATTTATTCAGTTGAATTTTGATCAAGATCTTCTCTAGTATCTTTGAAAGGCAAGCTTCCCTAATTTCCTTAATCTTCTAGAGACAGATTGTCCTAGTAGAACTTTCTGTAATGATTGTACTTTTGTGGTGGTGGTGTTCTTACTGTTTATATATAGAGATAACAGTTTTTTTTTTTTTTTAAGATGGGGTCCCACTTTGTCACCTAGGCTGGAATCTGAAGTGCAGTAGCATGACCTTGGTTTACTGCAAACTTTGCCTCCAGGGCTCAAGCAATCCTCCCATCTCAGCCTCCTCAGTAGCTAGGATCACCTGGTTAATTTTTTTTTTTTTTTTTTTTTTTCAGACGGAGTTTCACTCTTGTTACCCAGGCTGGAGTGCAATGGCGCGATCTCGGCTCACCGCAACCTCTGCTTCCTGGGTTCAGGCAATTCTCCTGCCTCAGCCTCCTGAGTAGCTGGGATTACAGGCACGCGCCACCATGCCCAGCTGATTTTTTGTATTTTTAGTAGAAACGGGGTTTCACCATGTTGACCAGGATGGTCTCGATCTCTTGACCTTGTGATCCACCCGCCTCAGCCTCCCAAAGTGCTGGGATTACAGACTTGAGCCACCGCACCCGGCCTGGAATTGAACTTTTAATTTTAATTGAAACCTAAGTGTCCGCATTTGGCTAGTTGGTGTCATATTGGACAGCATAGTTTTAGAGAATAGGCCCAACTGTTGCCCATTTTGCCTATTGTGGTTTGTCTTCTTCTAGCCAGATAGATTGAAGGATCTTTTCGTTAGTCTGAAATCGAACTTAAATACTGGAACTCCTCATTTGGAGTTGCAGCACACTTCTCACCGTTGGAAGACAATCTCTAGAAACATTCCTTTTTGTCCTGAGTCATTTTAGCTAGCCAGAGGAGAATCTTCCTCAAGCTTCCAACCTACAACGGGTCTGTGAATGGGATATAACAGGTAGATTTACAAAGCATCCCCCCCTTGTCCAGCTGTTACTCAGAAACTCTTGGGCTGAGATTTTTCAATATGTCAAATAATGTAATGTGCTAATTATAATCTTCCAGATGCAGAGAACAATTTTTTTTTTTTTTTTTTTTTTTTTGAGACGGAGTTTCGCTCTTGTTACCCAGGCTGGAGTGCAATGTCGCGATCTCGGCTCACCGCAACCTCCGCCTCCTGGGTTCAGGCAGTTCTCCTGCCTCAGCCTCCTGAGTAGCTGGGATTACAAGCACGTGCCACCATGCCCAGCTAATTTTTTGTATTTTTAGTAGAGACGGGGTTTCACCGTGTTGACCAGGATCGTCTCGATCTCTTGACCTTGTGATCCACCCGCGTTGGCCTCCCAAAGTGCTGGGATTACAGGCTTGAGCCACCGCGCCCGGCCGCAGAGAACAATTTGATAGGAAAAATTTGAACTTGGTTTTCTTCACTGAAGTCATTTTTCATGTTCAAAGGCTTTATTGTTACATTAAGATGGCAGGCAGTGGGGACAAATTTCTAAATGCTGGTGTTGATAGAAAGCAGAGATAATTTATAGAGAATTTTATTAGTTAAAAGAAGAAAGCCATTTCCCATGTTGACTCTTAAACCTGTCATTTTCAGCCGGGTGCTGTGGCTCACGCCTGTAATCCCACCACTTTGGCAGGCCAAGGCAGGCAGATCACAAGATCAAGAAATGAAGACCATCCTGGTCAACATGGCAAAACCCAGGCCGGGCGCGGTGGCTCAAGCCTGTAATCCTAGCACTTTGGGAGGCCGAGGCGGGTGGATCACAAGGTCGAGAGTTCGAGACCAACCTGGTCAACATGGTGAAACCCCGTCTCTACTAAAAATACAAAAAATTAGCTGGGCATGGTGGCTCGTGCCTATAATCCCAGCTACTCAGGAGGCTGAGGCAGGAGAATTGCCTGAACCCAGGAGGCAGAGGTTGCGGTGAGCCGAGATCGCGCCATTGCACTCCAGCCTGGGTAACAAGAGCGAAACTCCGTCTCAAAAAAAACAAACAAACAAACAAAAAAAAAACATGGCAAAACCCGTCTCTACTAAAAATACAAAAAATAGCCGGGCGTGGTGGCGCATACCTGTAATCCCAGCTACTCGGGAGACTGAGGCAGGAGAGTCGCTTGAACCCAGGAAGCAGAGATAGCAGTGAGCTAAGATCGCACCACTGCATTCCAGCCTGGCGACAGAGTGAGACTCCATCTCAAAAAAAAAAAAAACCTGTCATTTTCTTGATAGTACCTTTGGGTTCCACTCACATATATCTGATCTGCAGAAGTGACTTTTGGTGTATTACAGGTATGGCCAACCATATACACATGGGAGCAGGACCTCCACCTCAGTTTAACCGGATGGAAGAAATGGTACAAAAGGGGAAAGGGGTCGATGGGGGAGGAGGCTGCTTTACACAGCTTGTTCATTGTTTAAAACAAGATCTGAAAGTCAGCTTTCCCATTGATTATCCATCTTTCTTTTAATTTAGAACTCAGAAATGTAAGGTAGAAGGTTTAGGTTCAAATCTTGATGTCTTTCATTGATTATTTTTCAACTCACTTTGTAAATACCTATTAAACACCTGCCATGTACCAAGTGTTTTGCAGCACCTAGAGGAAGGTAGGACTTGATATGAGAGCCCTCTAGAATTCTTGTTCAGGCCTCTTTCTTTGTCTCAGGGTGTCCAGGGTGGTCGAGCCAAACGCTATTCATCCCAGCGGCAAAGACCTGTGCCAGAGCCCCCTGCGCCTCCAGTGCATATCAGTATTGTGGAGGGACATTACTATGATCCACGTGAGTATTTTCTTATTGTTGGGGTACTTTTCTTGGCAGGGTGAACTGAACTAAGACACCAGGCTCCTGGCTCCTGAATTTCTCTTCTGACCTCTCATAGTGTTTATCAGACGTTGTCTGATTGCTCTTTTCCTCACATGGAATATTGAGAACATCTTTTAAAGGGTTTGGGGGACAAGGAGACTTATCCATGTGATGTGAAGAGAAAGGGTTTATGAGAGTCCCAATGTGATATCTTACAGTGCAGTTCCAGGGACCAATCTATACCCATGGTGACAGCCCTGCCCCGCTGCCTCCACAGGGCATGCTTGTGCAGCCAGAAATGCACCTTCCCCACCCAGGTAAGCTTTGTATCTCTGCTTGTATACCTCCGGTACCTGAGGATGTATGTTGGGAGCGCCACACACCCCATTCTCCTCAGCTCTGTGCTGCTAGCCTGTGAGTGTGGCCATCCTTGGGCAACAAATTCCTCTTGTGTCCATCCTGAGGACTTCCATCCTGAGCCTCATTATGCTGAGCAGTCCAGCCAGGCCATTCTGTGAAAATGATGTTACTTTCTTTTTCAATCTTTGTTTTCTTCTCCTTATCCAGGTTTACATCCCCACCAGACACCAGCGCCTCTGCCCAATCCGGGCCTCTATCCCCCACCAGTGTCCATGTCTCCTGGACAGCCACCACCTCAGCAGTTGCTTGCTCCTACTTACTTTTCTGCTCCAGGCGTTATGAACTTTGGTAATCCCAGTTACCCTTATGCTCCAGGGGCACTGCCACCCCCACCACCGCCTCATCTATATCCTAACACGCAGGTGAGACGGTTAATGAGCATGTTTTTCTAGGTACACATCCTTTAATTCAGACAGGAATGTGGTATGGGGAGAATCCTAAAGGAATTTGAGAAAAATTTCAATGCCACTGATGTGTATGTGGCACCAGGACGCCTCTTAGTGGTCAGGAGCTGGAAATGCAGCTTATGTAATGCCCATCATCTTTATTCATTTTTTTTTCTGTCACCCAGGCTGGAGTACAGTGGTGTGATCTCGGCCCACTGCAACCTCCACCTCTTGGGTTCAAGCGATTCTCCTGCCTCAGCCTCCCGAGTAGCTGGGATTACAGTGCCTGCCTCCACGCCCAGCTAATTTTTGTATTTCTAGTAGAGACAGGTGAAACCCATGTTGGCCAGGCTGGTCTCAAACTGCTGACCTCGAGCAGTCCACCTGCCTTGGCCTCCCAAAGTGCTGGGATTATAGGCATGAGCTACTGCACCCAGCCTTCAGTTTCTTTAATGGTGTTTCTTTCCTGTGTTGTACATCATAGGCGGCAATACCTGCTTTTTGTTCCGTTGCATAAAGAAGCTGTATTGTACTCCTTATCACCTGTACCCCTGTCCTGCTTAACTTCCACCATGTTGACATAATCAAGTATCTGAAGTGTCACCACTGGAGTCGGCTTTTTCCATTTGTCAGCTGATGGTAGAAATTAGAGAAATCTGGGTAGTACTTTGAAGAAGTAGAAACAAGAGGGTAATAATGATGAATTAAGGCAGAAATGAATAGTCACTTTATTTTGAAGGGTGGGCAGATTAGATATTTTAAAAATTATAAATTCCCCAATACTCTTACTTTTGTGGCTGAATATTATTTCCTATTTATCATAGATTGGATGAATTCATTCCTAACTTTTTCTTTTCCTCGTTTATCGGGTGCCAGGCCCCATCACAGGTATATGGAGGAGTGACCTACTATAACCCCGCCCAGCAGCAGGTGCAACCAAAGCCCTCCCCACCCCGGAGGACTCCCCAGCCAGTCACCATCAAGCCCCCTCCACCTGAGGTACGAGAGCTCCTTCCCATACCTATTGCACGTGCTCCATCAGTGGGCTTTCCTTCTCCCCAAAGGATTTCCCTCCTTTTCTGGGTGTCTTTCTATAGAAAATGGTCTTTTTGGTATGACCTGATGACAAATTCCAACTTTATTATTTCAGGTTGTAAGCAGGGGTTCCAGTTAATCTGAGTTTGTGAATATTTTAAATCTTAACATCATATAAAAGTAAGTACACAACTTGCTGTGAATATTATTCTTAAAACTAATGCTCACATTTACTTGCTTAACAAAATAACCTAATTAATGCTTTTTTTTTTTGAGACGGAATCTCAGTCTGTTACCCAGGCTGGAGTGCAGTGGCTCGATCTTGGCTCATTGCAACCTCCACCTCCTGGGTTCAAGTGATTCTCTTGCCTCAACCTCCCGAGTAGCTGGGACTACAGGCACACACCACCACACCTGGGTAATTTTTGTGCTTTTAGTAGAGATGGAGTTTCACCATGTTGGTCAGCGTGGTCTTAAACTCCTGACCCCAGGTGATCCGCCTGTCTCAGCCTCCCAAAATGCTGGGATTACCGGCGTGAGCCACTAAGCCCAGCCTCTAATGCTTTAAGTTAGAATCATGGGATATCTCAGGAAGCTTAAAGGAGTCCTGAAATTTGCCAGTTTGTTTGTTTGTTTGTTTGTTTGTTTAGCAAATGTATTGGGCAGGGTTGAGGTAGAAACGATTGTTAACATGGCAATTTCAGTTGGGAAGCTACAAAGAAAAAATTCAGGAATGCAGTCTAAACTTGATCAAGGAAAAGGGAAGTCTAAATTTGAGATGTTACAGCAGAAAAAAAAACAGTTGTAAAGATCATAGAGGAGGAATACTGGTTTTTTTTGTTTCTTTTGTTTTGTTTAAGAACATTACTTAAAACGTAGTATTTAGAAATGAAAACAGCTTATAAATGCTCAGAAGGCCCATTAACACTTTGATGGTTCTTCGCTTTTCCCAACCCCTATCAGGACAGCAGAGGTGAGAACTCAGAAGAGAAGAGAAATACAGCTGGCTATCTACTACCAGAAGGGCTTCAAAGATACAGGGTGTGGCTCCTACCAGCAAACAGCTGAAACAGGAGGACTCCTGCCTTCCTCTGAGGACAGGCTCTGGAGAGAGGGAGAAACAAGTGGACCTCATCCCATCTTCACTCTTCACTTGAGTTGGCTGTGTTCGGGGAAGCAGAGAGCCAGACAGCCCAAGCTTCTGAGTCTAGATCCAGAAGCCCACGTCCTCTGCTGTTCTTCACTTTCTTCTGGGAAATTGAAGTGTCTTCTGTTCCCAAGAAAGCTCCTTCCTATTTGTTTTGTTTTCTAGGATGTTCATTTTTAAAGCCTACCTTCCTATTCCTAATATTATTTTAGTTTTTTCTCTTTGTTTCTTGCGCGCTTGCGCTCTCGCTCTCGCTCGTGCGCTCTCTCTCTCTCTCTCTCTCTGCCTTTAAATGAAACAAGTCCATTCTTCTGGTTTACTAGCCCCTCTGGGTTCTCTTTGGACTCTTTCCTGCATCCCAGGTAATGGGGAATGTATCAGCTAGCCCTCCCCACCAAGTTTAAAAAGACATGGCATTTCACTTTTAGTTGACCTTTGTTATCGTCTTGTATACTTGGATTCCCTTAACTCCTCTAACCCTGTGGAAGCATGGCTGTCTGCACAGAGGGTCCCATTGCACGGAAAAGCTCAGAGTAGGTGGGTAGGAGCCCTTCTCTTCGACTTAGGTTTTTAGGAGTCTGAGCTTCCATCAGTACCTCTGCTATGGTGGGCTTCTGTTCTCTGCTGACGGCGAATTCCCTCCTGTGGGGAGAGATGGCAAACCAGAAGCTTTTGTGAGAAAGGGATGGTGGAGTGAGAATCTTTGCACCTTAGGGTGTGTATTCACATAGTCCTCAGGGCTCAGTCTTTGAGGTAAGTGGAATTAGAGGGCCTTGCTTCTCTTCTTTCCATTCTTGCTACACCTCCTGTCCAGTTGCTGTGGACCAATGCATCTCTTCAAAGGCAAATATCCAGCAAGCAACCCACCCTGTCCTTTGCAATTGCTCTTCTCCACGTCTTTTCTGCTACAAGTGTTTTAGATGTTACTACTTTATTTTCCCTGAATTCTACTCTTATCCTTCCAAACAGAAGATGTTACATCTGGGCTTAAGGCCTAAGGAAGCCAATCACCTGGGCAAGGGCTCCTATCTTTCCTCCCTGTTCATGGCACTAAACCACTTCTCTGCTGCCTCTATGGAAAAGATTCCTGTTACTGCAGTACTTCCGTCTGCCAGGGGTAACTTGGCCACTGTCCGTGTCCTTCTACAGAACCTGAGAGCGAAGATGGTAGCTTTCTCTCTCCCTAGTAATGTTACTGTTTTTAGTCCTTCCCTCTAACAGCTGGCCTAACCACTCTTGAGTCACAGGTGTGGGATGGGGATGGGGGAGAGGCACTTAATCTGTAACCCCCAAGGAGGCAGTAAATTAAGAGACTGTTCCAGGGGTAGCTGGTGGTTGTGCCTTTTGTAGGCTGTTCCCTTTGCCTTAAACCTGAAGATGTCTCCTCAAGCCTGTGGGCAGCATGCCCAGATTCCCAGACCTTAAGACACTGTGAGAGTTGTCTCTGTTGGTCCACTGTGTTTAGTTGCAAGGATTTTTCCAAGTGTGGTGGTGTTTTTTTGTTGCTGTTTTAAAGGTTGCACATCTGTGATCACCATTGTGACTTGGAGATAATAAAATTTAGACTATTAACTTGACAGCCTTGCCAATGTTTTACATGAGTCTTGATTTGGGAGAGAGGGAAGAGGACTCTAATTCTCCCACAGGGTCACAGCCACAACTCAGGCCAGCCTAAACTTGTGAAACAGAAGCCCAGAGAGATGAGGAGCCCCTACGAGGCCATAAATGTGTCTGCATTCCCCATCAGTTATGTTTTTTAACCATATAGATTACCAGGATATTATGCAATCTCTTAGATTGGAAGTGTCAGGGACAGAAAAGAAGTGAGATGAGATGCTGCTTATTCACATGAGCATCTAGTATCCTTTATGAGCATCTAGTATCCTTTATGGCTTCCTTTGTGTTTGGCAAGTAAGTTTCCCAAAGTAATGTGCCATCAGATGTCAATATAACTATACCAAGTCCTGGGCTAGGGGGAAGTACAGGTAGCTAGCTTTCTTGAAAAGTAAAGATGCCTACAAAGTATTAAGGACCACAGTCTTAGGGAGACTCTTACCTATTAGGTCAGGTAAGGGGAAGGAAAACTGAAAGACCAACTATGGCTCATGTTGCAGGTTACCTAGATCACTTGGCCTCTGATGCTTAGAGGGCAATTCTCTAACTTTGAAGTGACTTCCTCCAGGTCCTGGGTGGGATGGAAGTTTACTACAGAGGCTATCCCTGGTATGGGAGAGCAATTGAGTTTCATGTGGAGCTAGCAACATTTGTTAAGTTTCATAAATCCATACACTGGAGGCATGGACATCAGGGTGCATCTTTTTTTTTTTTTTTTTTTTTTTTTTTTCTTTTTTTGGTCTTGTTCTATTGCCCAGTCTGGAGTGCAATGGCACTATCATGGCTCACTGCAGCTTTGACCACCTGGGCTCAAGCAATCCTCCCACCTCAGCCTCTCAGCCACTCAAGTAGCTGGGACCACGAGCATGTACCATCACACGTAGCTAATTTTTGTTATTTTTGTAGAGACAAGGTCTCTATTGCCCAGAGTGGTATTGAACATCTGGGTTCAAGTGATCCTCCTGTTCGGGCTTCCCAAAGTGCTAGGATTACAGGCTTGAGCTGCTGTGCCCAGCTATGGTGCATCTTATAATGACTGATGGGACTTCCCCCATCCCTTGGTGCTGCTGCCATACAGCAAGAGGACCATGACTTTCCTGACCCCGTCCCCTGTATTTAATACCTTTTTTTTTTTTTTTTTTTTTTTTTTTTGAGATGGAATCTTGCTCTGTTACCCAGCAGACCGATCACCTTAGGTAGCCCGGCCCAGTCCCCTTGTAGAAGCCCATGGGCTGGGTTTTCACCCCCATCTCAGTTGTTACTCATACCACCCCGCCTTCCTCTTCATGAGCAGGTGCAAATGCCCTGCCAACGCTCTTCCCCTTCAGGGTCAGCACACAGGCCTCCTACCTTGTGGGCAACTCGGAGCACCAAAGACTCTTGGAATTCCAAAGTCAGCTCCCAGCATCTGTGGCCCACTTAGGGTTGAACTGTCCCTCTAGGGCAGTGATTTTTCAACCCTGACCATGTGTGGTCATGTCAGGAGCTTTTAAAAAATACTATAAGGCCGGGCGTGGTGGCTCAAGCCTGTAATCCCAGCACTTTGGGAGGCCGAGGCGGGTGGATCACGAGGTCAAAAGATCGAGACCATCCTGGTCAACATGGTGAAACCCCATCTCTACTAAAAACACAAAAAATTAGCTGGGCATGGTGGCGTGTGCTTGTAATCTCAGCTACTCACGAGGCTGAGGCAGGAGAATTGCCTGAACCCAGGAGGCGGAGGTTGCGGTGAGCCGAGATCGCGCCATTGCACTCCAGCCTGGGTAACAAGAGCGAAACTCCGTCTCAAAAAAAAAAAACAAAAACTATAAGCCTTGGCCCTGTGTCAGAAATCTGATTTAATTGGTCTGAGATATGGCCTAGGTATCAGTCTTTTTTTTTTTTTTTTTAATATGGAGTCTCACTTTCTCCCAGGCTGCAGTGCAGTGGCACAATACCGGCTCACTGCAACCTCCACCTCTCAGGTTCAAGCTATCCTTCCACCTCAGCCTCCAGAATAGCTAGGATTACAGGTGTGTGCCACCACACCTGGCTGATTTTTGTTGTTGTATTTTTAGTAGAGAGAGGGTTTCACCATGTTGATCAGGCTGGTCTTGAACTCCTGACCTCAAGTGATCCGCCTGCCTTGGCTTCCCAAAGTGTTGAGATTACAGGCGTGAGGCACCTCGCCCAGCTAGCATCAGGATTTCTGAAAAGCTTCCCTGTCATTCCAGTGCACAGTCAGGGTGAAAACCACTGCCACTCCAGGAGGACCTTGACTTGACGCTGGCGCTCCTCACTGATTCAAAATGTTTAACTTTGTCTCTACCTGATATCCTTGAGTATTTGGGGGAGTGCTGAGGTCCTGTGCCCCGAGGTTCTAGCTTCCAGAAGTCTCCCAGTCCCTTTTATTTTCAACCCTCCACAGCCTTCACACTCCCCAATTCGCCCTTCCTAACCAACAATTCCCAAATCCTGCCCAGAGAGAAGGTTACCAAGGCAACCGGCTTAATCTGGTAACTGTGGCATGTGCTGGGAAAGAAGCCCTTCCCTCCTCCTCTTCGGTTCATAAAATGCTACTTGGGAACTCCAAGCCATTCCAGCCACTTTCCCCTTTCAAGCTTGGGGATATTGGGGTGTCCACTAAGGAGAGCACAGAAAGCTGATGCTCAGACTTCTAATACAGCTTCTTAGCCAAAATTGTACACTCTTCTTTTTACTGTTTCCAAATCCACAAACAGATGGGTGTGCAAAGCTTTATTTCTGTGAACACATGCTCTAGCATACATGGGACCAGATATGTACATACATTGATACGTATGTCATACACACCCTGTTCAGTTTTACTACCACTCCCAGCCATCAGCATTCCTGTCCCTGCCTGGTTGGTGCACAGTAAACAGGGGTGGGGCATTGTTCAGGGAGCCTCAATCCATCCAGAACCTGGTGCCACTCCCCTACCTTGTAAGCCTAGCCTGGATGTTTTCACATTTGGCATGGGTTTACACTGCACCCCCTTCTTCTTGGACAGTATACCCTTAAGGACAGAACGCTCCTGGCAAAGGCATCAGGAGTAAGGATTACTTGGAGTGCTAATTTGGCACCACTTTGTCCACTCCAGGGCTATGTACCCTTGGGCTCTGTGTTTGATGACAGTCAGCACTTCTGGGGCTTGTCACCTGTCTCCATGGCCCTGCTTCCTTCTGCTGCCAGCTGGGCTCAGGTGCCCCTGTGCTCCTGGTCTCCTCCCCCCTGCCTATTATCTCCTCCTCACTGCAGCTAGACCTGCCACAACCTGCTACTCCGTGCCTGGCTCCTACCTGCCTGCCAGTACCTGCCCACAGGCTAGGCCCACACTACCTATTGTGCCCTACCAGAAAGGACAGATGGGCACTGCCTCCAGTGCCAATGCTAATTCACCCAAGAGGCCTTCCTTCCCAGCCCTTCTCACAGAAGGAAGATAAAGTCCATATATTCCTGTGAGTATGGAAAAGGTGCACACTCTCGGGTTCAGCAATCTGTAGGCCTGACTTGGGTACACAGGTGACTGAATCAAGGTGTCCAGGCCACAGACCTGACTTTGAAATAATGCTGAGAACCCAGTAATCCCTTGAGCCAA